AATTACTTTTAATCTTATTAGTTGTGATGATTATGGTTCAATAGGAAAAAATATTTTTATTATTAGATACACATATTAAAGTACTTAGTGAAATGCCATAATACATATGAAATTTATTTTAAATTCTGCAACAACAAAGTAGATGATGTAATATGACAAATGACTATTGTTAAACTGGTTATGTGTATATCCTAGTCTATTCCAACACTTAAAATGTAACTGGCAAGATGACAAAAATATATTAAGAATCTAGAAATTAATGTGATTACCTTTAGGTAAATCAGTAAGAAGTAATATAATACTCTAATATGAGAGGATATGACATACTTAAAAAAGTATAACATAGTATAATTTAAAAGTAACCCAAAATGTTTTATACTGGGATAAACAAGAAATATCATTCTAAACTATTTATGGGAGATAGAAAGGAGTTCTCTTATTTGGAAATAAATTGTTCATATTTAAGAAAGTAAATTTCAAATACTGCATGAGCCAAAACTGTGATCAATTATTTATTACATTTAAAGAAAATAAATCTTTCTTTACATATCTTCTTGAACATTTCTTGTTATACATATAAAGCCAATGTGTCCCTGATATAAATTAATATAAATAATCTTAGTATTACAAAAAATAACATTTATAATTTACGATCACTTCAGAAATATAGAATCTTATGTTAATCTTGTAATAACTATGGATACTTTTAAAGAAGTTAATAAAAAGACACCTTCCATCCTTTCACCCTTACATAGGATTCTTCTACAGAAAGACAGATTGTCCTAAGAAGAAAATAAAAATTGTCACTGATCCTTCTTACAAGTACGGGACCAAATTCTTGTTAATTACCCATACTTATGTTACAAATAAAGAATTATTCCTTCATTCTATACTTTCCTTTGCCAACAACTAACCCAAGAAACAACACTCTGGGTCATTAACATGTTAATTTAAAATATTTTTCCAACCCATCTATATGTATGTATTTTAATAGAATATAGAAAGATAAAATACCTTAGAGTCAAGAAGGATTATTTTTTAATTTGGTTAATCTGTCTTTGACAATTTTTTCCAGAAGAGACTGGGCAATATCTTCTTTTGTTTATTTTCAATATCCAATTAATGTTTTTAGTTGTTTTATTTTTTGTAAGTAAAAATAACATTACATATCCAATGGAATATATCACTTATTTCCTTTTCTTTATGCTCACCTTCCAAGCATAAACAAAGCTGGACACTTTCCTACACTTTTAGGAAATTGGTCACTCTCAGTCTTGTGAGTTGTTTTGTTATTAAGAGGTTTACAAGTGTTGAGAATGTGATTCCAAGACAGATTCATTTCTTCTTGCTTCAGTGACATTTCTATGCACCTTAAAGACAATGATAACGTGCAAAATGAAGAGCACTACTGCATATATTGTGTCCATGGCTCCAGAAACTTATAGGAAACTACAAGTAATCTGTGTACTTGTGTGCACTTTCTTCTTATTTCTTCTTTGGCTAAATCAAATAGCCAGTGACTGCTAGAGTCATAAGCAAAACTGTCAGTGTTACAAATGTGTGTCCTGAAAGTTAAAGAAAATGTTAGAATCAAAATAATTTTATTTACTGGTGATAAACATAAAATTTTTAGCTAGTATGTGATAAACCATGAAGAAGAATTAATTGGTTAATTTAGGATGTCAAACAAACACAAAATTAGTAAGTTACAGAGTATGGACAACCTCAGCCAGGGTAGAGTTATAGTTTAGTATGGCCAACTAAAATGTGACACTTAAGTTCTTGGTTTTTGAGAGTAACTGGTCAAGGTAAAATCAATTAAGATACTTCCAGATTAAAAGTTAATGAAAACCCCTTGACTACTGTAAGTGAAAAAAAAGAAATATTTTGTCAAAGAAAACACCTAGAAAGTTTTATAGATACATTTACATAGTTATTTTTGTGTAATAACTTTGTGTGACAACATAAAAGAGATATAAGGTTCATAAGTAGGACTTATAAAAGTTACCTTCCACCAAATTTTAACATTTCTTAAAAACTGGAGACTCTAAAAGCCATCGAGCAAAAAGAATAAACAAATACAATATAAGCCAATCATCTAATGATGCAAATAGTCATAACGAAGGTATTCTTACTTATAAGCTTTAATGTATCAATATTCTAGGTTTCCTCAAATATTTATGGCATTGTTAGCATCTAATTGTTACAATAAACTAAATGTAAAACTGGGGATGAAATGATGAGCTTATTGCTGAAGAGTCAAGAACTGATGACATGTCATGTTAATGAGAGATTCAATATGTTAGTCATTCATTAGAAAAACAAAAATAGTTATGACAATATAGTGGTTTAAGCCCCTGTTATCCTTGAATAGCCCCAGATAAATCCTGAGCCAACAGTATTGATGGACATTTGGAAATATACAGAAATGGGATTTTTATAGAACTATATACCTTTCATAATTTACCACAAGGTCATACTTCTGAGGCATTACCAGTCTCATTTAAATTATGAAATGTAACATTTTGTGTTTTGTTGTTTTCCTGAGGGTAGTAGGAGCTGAAGAGTAGAAAAAGAAAACACTAATTGAATTATATAATTTTAATTTGAATCTAAAAGCAATACCGGCAGGTGCTTATAATCACATCCTTTTTATAAACTAGAATGTACCATACAAACCCAACACTTCTATAATAGATAAATCCTTCCATAGGCAAACACAAAGAATCACCAAGTGAAGGTACATAATCACTTCCAACTTCATTAACTCTTTCCCTTATCCTCATTAAGATTAAAACTTAATTAAATTGATATGAAATCAGGAAGATAACCAGGAATGTATAAAAAGTTAGCTCTTATTCTCAACAGTTTTTATTCCTCAAATAAGGCAAGTGGAGTGTTTTTAAAGAACACACACACAAAAAGGCAAATTGCTTGTTAGAGGGTTTTGCCTGAATTTCCTCTTATTCAGAAATAAAGGAATTAGGTCTAATATAAGACCCCCATAAAATTAATATTCCATCCTATGTTTCAGCACTTTTCATACTATTAAAAATATCACAGTCAATTATTTCGCCAAAGTATATAAAGAAACTGATGATAGCCAAGAGCTAGCATCCTGTAAACTCATTGCTTTCCACCCCTCTCACCTTCAGAGCCCCAAAGCACAGAAGGTAAACTGATAATGCTCTAATCCAGACGGAGAGCTGGGACAAATGCAAGGAAGAACATGAGGTGGGTAGTTTACTTTTTTCTGGAGTAGTTTTGCTGGGACATCTGCACAACTCATCTTACATGACTTAGACCTCTGTTCATTTTTGCCAGGCTCTAAATTGTATTTCTTTTTAAGTTTTTGAAAAATCTGAATAGAAAGTTATATTTTATTATATTTGCTATTATAACATCTAGATTACTTGATTAACAAACAGTAAAAACTACTTTAAAAACTCCAGGACCAAAAAAGTCAAATATTTTTACTAAAATACTGAACCATTTAGTGATTTAAAGAACATTCACATACTTTAGCTTATAATAGGCTTAAATGATATTGTTAAGGAGAAAGAGTTATATAGAGCAGAAAGTACATAGCTCACAGCACCCAAAGATTTAAAATAGGCAATTTAGTAACAGCATTAAAATACAGTTTTTCTTTTCTTTTTTGCTCTATTATGCACTTATTAATTTCATAATCATTTTAAAATTATAATTTAAAGAAATATTTAAATACAAACAAACATTTTCTGCACTTTACTATTATGAGAAAAAGGCAATTTAAAACTTATAGGCACTCAAAACTTATAAATACATACATTATACATAATTTTTATTTATTTTTTACCAGTAAGAAGAGCTTTATTTTGTTTTCTTCTCTTTGTTTATTATATTTATTGGGGTGAAAATGTAGGCATTAGGGAAGTGTAGAAATAACTCGAGTTTATATAAACTCCACAATTCGTTTTCTTGACAATAAAATGTACAAGAAAACAGAAGAGGGTCAGTTTAAATAATCCTCTGTTTGTCTACAGAATGTAAGAGCCAACCACGACAATATACTTAATATATAAATTTTAATGCAGATTAGATGTTTCAAACAATACTGATATTTTTCCTGTGTGTTTCTCTTTTACCATCTGAAGGCTTATCACATGACAAACACTGTTCTAACCTCTTTACAGGTAGCAACTCATTTGATCCTTACCACCATCCCAGAAGGCAGGTTTTCTACGTCCCCCATGTTATAAATGAGAAAACTGAGTCCTACAGAGGTTAAGTTGGTCGCAGTGACATGGCACATAAGCAGCTGACAGTTGGAACCAAGCAGTCATATTATAAAGCCTGTCCTGCTAACTACTGGGCTGTTTCTGGCTAGACTGGCAGGTATCAAGAAACACAACCCAGAAAAAGGCCAAATTACTCACAATTTAACAGTAGGTTAGAGGTTGGCTTTTCCTAGATTTCTTTGTTTCTGTATAGCACACCTATGCTACCATAAATTATTCTAAGGAAAAGGTAAAGTGAGGCAAAGGTAAATAGATTGCAAAGTGAGACTTTGGTTTTCAAATAATTTTCCTTTGAAATATTGTTAATGTCCTTGAGTATATTGAGAAATTTTAAAAAGAGTCTGTTCATCAAGCATAGTAATTATAGACAAAAGAAATAAAGGTATTTATTTCTTGTCATATCATTTTTTGACAATATCAGGTCAAAAATACAATTAAGCTAAGAAAATGATCTATTTGTGATAAGGTATCAAGTTTTATTGGAGAGAAGTTAAGAACAAATGTTTTAGGTCATCACAATTTCTGCTCACCCTGATTTTCCACGGTCCCAGAAAATTTTGCCTAAAATTATGATACCAGTTATTGAGGTAACAGCAACAATTCCTTGAGGGAGAAAAATTTGGTAACATAGTTAATACAAACATAAGCAATTATATAGACTGTAATTTTGCAATGACAAACATACTGTTTATGAAGCAAGTTAAGAAAACATAGAAGAGCTTGCTTCAGCAGCACATATACTAAAACTAGAATGATACAAAGAAGATTAGCATGGGCCCTGTGCAAGGATTTTGTAATTTTGCCCTGGGGTAATATACAGTGTAATTTTGCAAATTTGCAAAGCATTCCACATTTTAAAAAATATAGAGAGAAGACAGAAGTTATATTTTGCATATGGCTTCCTTGTGTTAAAAGTTTGAGAGTAAAAATTCTACATTATTTATCCTCTATCCTGTTTTCTTTGAAAAATGAAATACAGTACTAAAAATAAAGTATCATAATGATCAAATAAAATTTAATTGACAGGTTAAGAAGGTTATAAAGTGTTTTAACCCCACTATGCTTAATTCTAAATGCTTCCATCCTTCATATATGTATTTCATCCTCACTCTACCCTCCAATGTCCTTGAAGTCTACTCTTTTGATCTGTAGTACATAGGAAATTAGAGATGATACCAGAAAAGCAAACAGAACCTAATGTGCCTAATAAGTGCATTTGGTTCCAAATCAGCAATATATAGTTATCACCCAATTGCATTACTATATGGGCACATGATTTAAAAAACAGCTGTTTACATCACAATTAAGTTTTTACAGTACTTCATCCAATCAATTTTTTTAACTTATGCTCTAGGATTATAACATTAGCTTGAGACAACAATATTCATAAAATAAATCGTGGTTCTACAAAATTTTTTAGTTTTGTTTATTCATTATGTCCCATTCATCCCATTTTCAATTTAAATGCCAAACAAAGACAGAAATTTAAAAGTGATCTAAAATAGCTAGATCTATTTTAGCCAGAGAAATAAAAGTCTAGTTCTAGAATACTAATCAGTACATATAAGTAATTCTAGAAGAAAGTGTGTGCAGGTTAATGGTTTAACTGGAAACCAAAGCAAAATACAAAAATTTGATGGACAAATCTATATAATGACTGCTTTTATAAATTATTATTTTTATTATTTAAGGATTTTTATTAGAAATGCATCTCTTAGATGAATTAATTTTCTTTTTTTTAATATTAAATTTTATTTAGTTACTTTTCAAGTACATTTTTTTTTTATCTATTTCTCCCATCCCACCCCACCCCCCCACCCGGTCTCCCCCCTCCCTCCCATTCCCCCCCCCCCCGCCCCAGTCCTCATCTCTGTGTCTTTCATACTTGTTCCTCAAAATCCCTCCCCCTTTTTCCCCTTAAGTTCCTTTCCCTCTCCCCTCTGGTTGCTGCCCACTTGTTCTTTTATAAATTATTAAGAGTACTATCTCACAAATTAGAAAGAAGAAAAAAACTTTAAGGTATAAAGGCAATAATAGTTCATGATGTCAAAATCCACTTGGTATCTATGGAAAAGCATCCCAAAGGTGAATCAATATCAATTTAATATTTATTAAACTTGGGATAGGTGAAACTATGGATTATGAATAAAATTATTATTGTGATCCCAATATTCCTAGTCATTAACTGAAGAGCTCTGAGGAAGAAAAATTATATACTTTAAAAAATGATTTTCTCCAAGAAAACGGAGTATTTTAGTAATGTTCCCTGATGTAGAACTATTTTTGCATACTGCTTAAAATGCCGCAGAGCAGTTTGCCACCTACTACCTCATCTGATCATCTCCAGTAACTAGCATAGTGCTTGGAAAATAGTAGAAGGTATTTAGTAAATATTTATTAAATCATATCATATGACTTTTTTTTTTGCAGATGAGAAAATATATAAAAAATCTTTATTTTAGATACACCCAAGTCAGAATTCTACCTACGAGATCTGTTGTTAATTAAATGATGCTTATCTCCTTTTCTGAGGAAAAATGGGTTCACCAAGTTACTTCCAAAGGTCTCACATATATCGAATAAAGTAGAAATGTATTCATATGCTCTAAAATATAAGAAAGCTGTGGATAGGCTTTGTTTTTCCTTATAAGCTTATTAGTGTAACAGATAAAGAGAATGAGGTGTGTGGATAAGTAAAATCACACTGGAAAGGGACTTTTGCAGAAGAAAAAAGGATGTACTTGGGTAAACCTTAAATTTTCTGATCTGTAAGTCAGGATTCAATACCATTTTCTTAGCAACAACTGCAGTACCCTTTAAGTATCTTGCTATTATCAATGGATTTTCTAGGCTTTGGTATTTCTTCAAAAGTTTTAAAAATATTCTATTTATTTATTTTTAGAAAGAGGAAGAGAGAAACATTGATGTGAGAGAGAAATATCAATCAGTTCCTTCTGCATGTGCCCCCAAGGGGGATTGAACTCAAAAACCAGGCATGTGCCCTGACCAGGAACCAGACCAGTGACCCTTCAATTTGCAGAACAATGCCCATCCAACTGAGCCATACCAGTCAGGGCTTCAATTTTTTTTTAATGAAAAAAAATCTATACACTTCCTTTTCCAGAATAAAAAGGTCACTGGAAAATTACACGATTATCTGATTTTTTAACTCTAAATAACAAGTAGATAGTTAAGTCACTTTATAATGGGATTTAAGCATGTCATTCATAGACAGGTATTAAGACACAGTGAAGACCCCATATCAACAAATTATACATTTAAATCACCACCAATAATTCAAGATGCTTGAAAATACACTTCGGCGTGGGCTAATACATGCCATATTTAGGTAGACATATAAAGCAGTAAATATGCATATAATATTTAAAGGATATCAAAAAGTATTTTGATATTTTACTGAATATTCTAATATTTTTATTTGTATTTATTTATTTTTAGAGAGAGGGGAAAAGGGAGAAAAAGGGAGAGAAACATCAGTGTGTGGTTGCCTGTCACACACCCCCTACTGGGGACTTTGCTTGCAACCCAGGCATGTGCCTGACTGGTAATTGAATTGGTGACCTTTCAGTTCTCAGGTTGGCACTCAGTCCACTGAGCCACACCAATTTTTAAATACTCTTTCAATTGACGTATTAATTCCAAAAAGAGACTTAAAAATGTCACAATACAGATTTTAAACAATGACAGGGGTAATACTTGTAAAGAATAAGGAATAACTTAATTGTCAAATCTGAATTGTGCAGCTCTTGTCCTGCCACTAGGACCAGAATCTTTCTATCCTTTCAAGTATTTAGTGCTAGAAAAACTAGTCATTGGCCTCCACTTAAGTACTTAGTCGGTATGTGACCTTGAGCAAAGTATAAATCTTACAAAAGCAGAGTTCTCTCAGCTAAAAAATGGGACACAGCTATATTATAAAATTAATAAAGTGTCTAAAATATTTTAAAATTTCCATGAGAGCAATAATGAAAAAAGTGAGAAACTCTAATATAGAACCAGCAGAAGGATATCTTTAAAACCCACCATAGAGATTTCATTTCTTGAGATTAGTCAGTCTCTCTTTCTTAGCAGAATTAAACAGACAAAAAATTTGTATACTTTCTCAGTCATAATATTAACTGTAATTCAGTTACATTGCAGTATAGTCAACAAAATACATTTCCTTGAGGTAGAGTTTGCTTATCTTTAAATTGAAAAAAGTGACCTAATTTACAAAATAAATTGAAGAAATAAAGAGGTCCAGTCACGATGGCAGCATGGGTAAATATGGTCCTAAAATTCTCTCATAATAACATCAGAATTACAAACTACAAGATAATAATCACTCAGAACTCCCTGAAACCTAGCTGAATAGAAGTTGTGCAACTAGGGATTGAAAGAAGAAGCAACATTAATACTGGCAGAGGGGGAAAAGACTCAGAAGGGGCTAATCCCACACCTATATGTGATGGTTAAAAATTGTGAGGGGTATCTGGGCTGCTGAGGGCCCTCGCTGAGGAGCCAGGGGTCCTAGCCCCTCGTTAGGTCCTCCAGCCCAGGTTTCCAGTGCTAGGAAAAGAAGTCCTGATTACACTTCTGGCTGTAAAAAACAAATACAAAAGCAAACAAACAAAGACAAGCTATTTACCATATATAGAGTCAAAACACTGGTTATAAAGATCCCCAATGAACTTAGAAGAGTAGATACACTTAGTAAGAACTTTAACAAAGATATAGAAAACATAAAAATAAAGAAAGAAAACAGTAAAAAAAAAAACCCAGAAATGAAGAATACATTACAGGGAATAAACTGTGGAGTAGATGAAGCAGAGCATCAAATAAGATTTAGAACATAAGGAAGCAGAAAATACCCAATAAGAATAACAAGAAGAAAAAATAATTCAAAACATAAGGATAGCACAAGGAGCCTCTGAGATAACTTCAAGCATACCAACATTCATATCTGGAAGGAGAAAAGAGAGCAATAATTGAAAACTTATTGGAAAAAATAACAACAGAAAACTTCCCTAACCTGATGAATGAAATAGACACATAAATCCAGGAAATACAAAGAGTCTCAAACAAGATAAACCCAAAAAAGGCCACACCAAGAGGCATTATAATTAAAATGCCAGGGGTTAAAGATAAAGAGTAAAGCTTAAAAGCAGCAAGAGAAGGTGAGTAACAATTGGTATTTTAATTATGATGCATCTGGGTGTGGCTCTTCACCCTGGAATACTAAGCAGCAGAAAGAAAGAAAAAAAGAAGGAACTCCTACTCTCTGTGAGAGTATAGACAGAACTGGAGACTATTATGCTTAGTGAGATAAGCCAATCAGTGAAAGACAAATACCATATGATCTCACCTATAAGTGGAGCCTAGTCAACAAAACAAGCAAGCAAAATATAACGAGAGACATTGAAATAAAGAACAAACTGACAGTAACTAAAGGGGAGAAGGATAATGAGTAAAAATAGGGGAATGTCCATCAAGGAACATGTATAAAGGACACATGAACAAAGTCAAAGGGGGTAGGTTCAAGGGTGGGAGGTCAGGATGGGTGAGGCAGGAGGCCAAGGTGGGGTGAAAATGGAAACAACTGTATGTGAACAACAATAAAAAATGTAAAAATAAATAAATAAATAAATAAATAAATAAATAAATAAATAAAATAAAATAAAATGCCAAGGGTTAAAGACAAGAGAGAATCTTAAAAACAGCAAGAGAAAAGCAGTTATCTATAAGGGAGATCCTATAAGACTGTGAGGTGATTTATCAACAGAAACTTTGCAGGCCAGAGGGGATTACCAAGCAATATTCAAAATGATGAAAAGTAAGGACCTACAACCAAGATTACCTAGAAAAAAAATAATTTAGAACTGAAGAACAGATAAAGAGCTCCTCAGACTATAAAAGAAAAACTAGTTCATCACCACTAAACCAGTATTACAAGAAATGTTAAAGGGTCTTCTTTAAGAAGAAGAAAAGATTAAGATATTATAATGCAATGGCAATAAATGTATGTCTATCAACAATCACTCTAAATTAAAGTGGATTAAATGCTCCAATCAAAAACATATGATGGCTGAATGGAAAACAAAATAAGCACATTATATATGCTGTCTACAAAAGACATGCCCAGATTGAAAGACACACACAGACTAAATGTAAAGGAATGGAAAAAGATATTTCATCAAAGTAGAAATAAACAAATAAAAAGCTCAAGTAGCAATAGTTATACCAGAGAAAACAGGCTTTAAAACAAAGGCTATATAACAAGAGACAGAGAAGGACCCAGTAATTCCACTTCTGGATATTTATCCAAAGAAACCCAAAACACTAAATCGAAAAGACATATACATCCACATTTATATTACAGCGTTTTTAAAATAGGGAAGTTATGAATGCAACCTAAGTGTTTTTAACTTGATGAATGACTAAAGAAAAAGTTGTACATATATACAATGAAACATGACTCACACATAAAAAGAATGAAATCTTGCCATCTACAACAACATGGATCGACCTATAGGGTATTGTGCTGAGTGAAATAATTCGGACAAAGGAATATAAATTCCATATGATTTTAATTATATGTAGAATTTAAAAAATGGATTAGCAAGCAGAACAGAAACAGACTCATAGATACAGAGAACATTTTGAAGGTTGCCAGATGGAAGGAGAATTGGCAGAATGGATCAAAAAGGTGACGAGATTAATAAATACAAATTGGCATTTACAGAATAGCCATGGGGACATAAAGTACAACATAGAAAATATAGTCAATAAATTATAATAATTATGTATGATGTCAGGTGGGTACAAGATTTATCTAGGTGATCATTTACTTAGTTACATAATGTCTAATCACTTGGTTGGACAGTGAAATTAATATAACATTGTATGTCAATTGTAATTGAAAAATAAAAAATATTTATTAAAATAACAAATTACCATTCTAAAAATGAAATGAAGATAATTTTCAGGTTTATGTTTTACAAGTATAGGATCACAAAGAAAAATATTGTCATATGTCTGATTTAAGAGGGAAGGAGTTCTTTATTTTGGGCATAAGCTAAAATAACAGCTAACACTGAGGAAAGCTAACTGGGAAATCACATAGTATATACTTCAAGAACTTCAGAGAAAATAGGAGTTCCAGCCCAGATGGAGGCATAGTAGAAACCCCTAGCTTCCTTGCACAACCAAAAGAATGATAATGACCAATCTAAAAACAATAAACAACTAGAAGTGCCAGAAAATCAAACTGCATGTAACTCTTGGCAACCAAAGAGTTAAAGAAACATCCACCCAGACAAATAGGAGGGGTGGAGATGGAGACAGCAGGAAGTAAAGGGGACAAGTAGCAAGGTGGTGGACCATATGGGCAAGGCAGGGCTGGCTGGACAGGAAACTAAATTCTCAAAGCTACCTGTAAACTACTGTGAGGGCTGCCATAGTGGAAGAAACTCCCAGTCTCACACAAGAGTTCCTTGGAAAGTGGGGCTAGAGCAGAGCAAGCAGCATTATTTCCCTTCTGATTCCTCCCCCAAAAACAGCACCAAAATACAGCAAAGAGAGTTGCCCTACCCCAGTGAATACCTAAGGCCCTGCCCTCTTGCAACAAGTGAGCTGAGACAAAGAAATATGGCCTAAATTAGAGAACAGATCAGAACTCCAGAAAAAGAGCTAAGCAATGAGGAGATAGACAACCTATCTGACTCTGAGTTCAAAACACTGCTAATCTGTGTGAGCACACAGAACTGATTTAGCTCAGTCACAAAATGAAGAAAGAAATGAAGGCTACTCAAAGTGAAATAAAGCAAAATATACAGGGAACCAACATTGAAGAGAAGGAAATCAGGACTCACATCAATGATTTGGAAAAAAAGAAATAAATAAACACCCAACTGAAACAGAATGAAGAAAAAAGAATTCCAAAAAATGAGAAGAGGCTTAGGAACCTCTGGAACAACTTTAAGCACTCTAACATCAGAAACATAGGCATGCCAGAAGGAGAAAAACAACAGTAAGACATTGAAAACTTATTTAAACAAATAATGAAGGAAAATGTTACCAATCTGGCAAAGGAAATAGATTCCCAGGAAGTCCAGGAAACTCTGAGAGTTCCAAAGAACTTGGACCAAGGAGGAACATACCAAGGCACATCATCATTAAGCTACCCAACATTAAATGTAAAGAAAGCATCTTAAAAGCAGCAAAAGGCAAGGAGAGAGTTACCTACAAAGGAGTGCCCATAAGACAATCAGCTGATTTCTCAAAGGAAACCTTACAGTCAAGAAGGGGCTGGAAAGAAGTATGCAAAGTCATGAAAGGCAAAAATCTACATCCAAGATTACTCTATCCAGCAAAGCTATCATTGAGAATGGAAGGGCAGATAAAGTACTTCTCAGATAAGGTCAAGTTAAAGATCATCATCATCAAGCCCTTATTATTTGAAATATTAAAGCGACTTACCCAAGAAAAAGAAAATTATCAAAAATATAAACAGTAAAATGACAACAAACTTACAATTACCAATGACTGAACCTAAAAAACAAAAACAAAAACTAAGAAACAACTAGAACAGAAACAGAACCAGAGAAGTGACGATCACATGGAACATTTTCAGTGGGGAGGTGGAGGGGAAGAATAGGGATGAAAGGTACAGGGAATAAGAAACAGAAATGGTAGGCATAACAAAGGGAGGGGTTAAGAATAGTGTAGGAAATAGAGAAGTCAAAGAACTTATATGTACAACCCATGGACATAAACTAAGAAGGGGGAATGTTGGAAGGTTGGGGATGCAGAGCAGAGGGATGATAAAGGGTAGACAGAAATTGGGAAAACTGTAATAGCATAATCAATAAAATATACATTAAAAAAGAATTTCAGAGAAAGTAATAAGCACTTCAAATCTTTATTGATCACCACTGAGCATATAAGAAAAAGTTCATCTACAAACTTATAGCTGTTTTCAACATTAAATCATGAGATTTTCATCTATAATACATTTATTTCTATTTAAAATATAGAATAAAATTGAATTCCAACTCTGAATCTTTCAAAACAAATCTTTTAGCTTAGGGAAGGTTTATTCAAAATATAAAAAAATTATAAAATTTTTTAAATTTATTTTCATTGTTATTCAAGTACAGTTTTCTGTCTTTTACTCCCATCCCAGCCCACCCTTTCAGTGCTCCCCACCTCCTTCCTATTTCCACCCTCCTTAGTTTTTGTCCATGTGACCTTTATACTTGTTCCTATAAACCATTCCCCTTTTCCCCTGAAATTCCCTCCCCTCTCCCCTCTGGTCACTGTCAGCCTGTTCTCTACTTCAGTGTCTTTGGTTATATTTTGCTTGCTTATTTGTTTTGTTGTTTAGGTTCCTGTTAAAGGTGAGATCGTATGGTATTTGTTTAAATAATAAAAAAATACCTGTTTTCAGCTTTATAGTCCTCTGGCTAATTTATACATGTAAAACACAGGAGACTCTAGATTATAAGAACATAAATTTAAAATATACACTTTTTTATGTGTATGTTCAATTGGATGCTACTTACCAATATGCAAATTTAACTGTATTGCTTCTTATTAAACATTTCTCTTACCATTTTTTATAGAAGTTAATGTATAACATCAAATAATATATTTATAGACAAAAAATGAACTGGAACAAATGCGAGAAGAAATTGCCACACAGATATATGGTTTTAGTCTCATGCCTAAATCAACAGAATATTTCTTTTTACATTTTAATCATCTTTAAAATTTTTAATAACAAATCTTTATCTAATATTCTTTTTTTATTGTTGTTCAGTTACAGTTGTCCCTTCTTTTCCCCATTGCTCACCCCTATCCTGTTCACCACTACTCCCAGGGTCAATCCCCCTCTATTGTTTGTGCCCATGAATCCTCTATTCATGTTCTTTTTCTTGCTCCTTCCCCTTCTTTCCCCATTACTCCCTTCCTCTTCCCCTGTGGTTACTGTTAGTTTGTTCTTTATTTCCAAGTCTCTGGTTCTATTTTGCTCATTTGTTTGTTTGGTTGATTATGTTCCATTTACACGTGAGATCATATGGTATGTCTTTCACCACCTGCCTTATTTCACTTAGTATAATGCTCTGTAGGTCCATCCATGCTGTCACAAAAGGTATGAGTTCCTTTTCTCTTTCTGCTGCATAGTATTCCATTGTGTAGATGTTATTTTTTAAAAAAATAACTTTGCTTTCGATCATTGACAAGGAAAGGAAAAGAAAGAAAATGAATTAAAGGTAGCACTCTTTATTTCATTTGGGCATAAGACGGAAGTCTAGAGATGGTCAAGAAGCAGTTTCTGTTTAATTATAAAATATTTGAGGACAGAAACTGTATTAGTAATGGTCTCTTTCTTGTGTTTCTTCAGTCCCTAGAGTGATTAATTGACATAATAGGCATGCAATAGTACTTGATTGATTGGCCCAATGATTTGAAATTGTCCTAAAACTGCCTTGGATCAAGAACATGGTTGGACTATTCTGACAGGTGTGAAGTGATATCTCATTGTGGTTTTAATTTACATCTCTCTGACAGTTAGTGATGAACATCTTTTCATATGTCTATGGGCCATCTGTATGTCCTCCTTGGAGAACTGTCTATTCAGATCCTTTGCCCATTTTTTCATTGGGTTGTTTGTATTCCTGGTGTTGAGTAGTATGAGTTCTTTCTGTATTTTGGAGATTAAACCCTTGTCTGATGTATCATTGGCAAATATATTCTCTCATATAATCAGTTCTTTTTTTATTTCGATGGTGATTTCTTTAGTCATGCAGAAGCTCTTTAGTTTGATGTAGTCTCATTTGTTTATTTTTTTCCTTTATTCTCTTTGCCCTAGAAGATATATCAGCAAAAATATTGCTATGTGGGTTATCCAAAATTTTACTGCTTATGTGTTCCTTTAGGACTTTTATGATGTCAAGACTTATATTTAAATCTTTTAACCACTTTGAGTTCATTCTGGTGTAAGGCCATCATTAATAAACTAATAAACAATAAGTTCTGGTGAAGATCAGAGAAAAGGGAACCCTAGTGCACTGTTGGTGGAAATTAGGACTGGTACAGGTATTGTGGAAAACAGTATAGAATATTTCTTAAAAAACTAAAAATGGAACTGCCTTTTGACCAAATGATTCCACTGCTGGGAATATACCCTAAGAAGTCTGAATCACTAACCAAAAAGAACTTAGGCACCCCTATGTTTACAGTGGTGCTATTTTTAATAGTCAAGTGCTTGAAAAAACCTAAGTGACCATCTGTAAATGAGTGGATCAAAAAATGTGGTACATATACACAGCGGAATACTACGCAGCAGAAAGAAAGAAGGAACTCCTATCTTTTGCAACAGCATGGGTGGATCTGGAGAATATTATACTCAATGAAATAGGCCAGTAGGTAAAAGACAAATAAATACCATATGATCTTACCTATAAGAGAAATCTAATAAACAAAATAAACTGACAAACAAAATAGAACCACAGGCATGGAACACACTGAAAGTCACTAGGGATGTGGGGAGTGGGGAGGGGGATAATGGTGTAAAGAAGGGGAAAGGACCCAGGGGTGTCCAAACTTCTGGCATTTAGTCACCACACTGGAAGAAGAGTTGTATTGGGGCACACATTAAATACATTGACACACATAATCACAGAAAAACTCATAATGTTTTAAGTAAATTTACAATTTATGTTGGGCCACATTCATAGCCATGCTGGGCTGCATGTGGCCTGCAGACCATAGGTTGGACACCTGATAGACAGAGAACATGTATGAATGGACAACAGTGTGGGAATTGAATGTGGGAACAGCAGGTGGGATGGGCAAAAGAAGGCAAAGGGGAAAAATTGGGACAAATGTAATAGAACAACAACAAAAAATGATTTTAAAAAAAGATAATCATCGGTAATACCTAGGAACATACCTAGAACCTAATGGTATCCACAAAACACAACGATAAAATATATTTACCTGTCTTCTTTTTGGCAAACTTAAATACTGCATTTTAATAGCATTCCTAAGACAGTTAAAAGACAATATTCTCCTCCAGGAACACAGATTGTACATACAATAGCGATAGTAATTTCTTTTAACTGGCCAATAGTTACACTTACCCAATATAATGTTGCTAACCCCTAAAGAAGAAAAAAAAAGAAAAATAAAATTACAAAAATTAAAAGCTTTTAAGTAATGGATGTGCAGTCAATTTAACATATGTATAAACTGCACTAGAAAGTTCAAAGGTAACTCAAATTTTTATAATTAAAAAATTATAAATTTAAGAAAATAATTACATATTATGAATAATCAAAGAACATACACACTAGTGCCTATGTCTATTCGATGAGTTAACATTATAAACATAAAATATAATAGAGTTATTGAATACTAAAACAAACACTATGTAAATCTGTTTATATGACTTAATGGCAAGAAAGAAATCTTAAAGCTTAAATGGTAACTGCTGATCCAGTCCTCTGATAAAGAAACTATCAGAAATTGAAGTCTCTTTCGGCACTCTATCAAAACTTAAATTACCTATCACCTTATTATTTATACCTTTCAATGACTATGAGTGAGGCATCGCAAAAATAACTTTACTGTCAGATAATAGATATTTGTAATAATAAATACGCTGCTCTCTTTAGGGATGAACAAATTTGCTTGAAGTACCATTGAGAACAGGCAATATATATAGCAGAAAAATGTTCAATTTAAAGTCAGAAAATATGTGTTTACACCTAATTTTTCTCTGTTGACTATGCATTACATATGATTAAGGTTACTCTCTAAGCCTCTAAAATAAATCTTCAGCTATAAAATCAAACTAAAAATACTTATTTTGCAAGGTTGTTGCAAGGGCAACTGTCAACAAGTGGAAAGTGTATGGTACATGCCACTATAATACATGCTCAATAAGTGGTAGTTACCATTTTTTAATAACATCAAAAAATGGCATGATATTTTAAAACTAAATTACATACAAGAAATTTGACCTCAAAATAAATATAAATTATAAAATGGCAATAGCAACTTCCTATCAATAATCACTTTGAACATATATGGATTAAATGTACCAATCAGAAGGCATAGGGTAGCTAAATGTGTAAGAAAACAAGACCTACATATATGCTGTCTGCAAGAGACTTGCTTCAGCTCAAGAGATACACAGGGGCTGAGAGTAAATGGATGGAAAAAGATACTGCATGCAAAGAGAAACTAAAAGAAAAAAATTGGGGCTAGTAATACTTATATCAGACAAATAGACTTTAAAACAAAAGGTATGATAAAAGACAAATAAGGACAGTACATAATGATAAAGGGATCATTTCAACAAGAGGATATAGCCCTTGTAAACATTTATACACCCAACATAGGAGCACCTCAATATATAAGGCAATTATTGATGGATATAAATGGAGAGACCAACAATAATACAGTCGAAGTAGGGTATTTTAACACCCAATTAACATCAATGGATGGGTCCTTGAGACACAAAGTCAACAAGGAAACATTAGACAGGTGGGTTTAATTAATATTTGTAAAGCATTTTACATGCTCTTATGTAAAATGCTTTACAAATATTAATTAAACCCACCTGTCCAAATAACAAAATATGCATTCTTCTCAAATGCACATGGAACATTTTTCAGGACAGACCATGTTAGGCCACAAAACAAGTCTCAGTGAATTGAAAAAGACTGAAATCATTTCAAGCACCTTCTCTGATCACTATATTATGAAATGAGAACTCAATTACAAGAACAACAATGAAAAACACACAAACACATGGAGGCTAAATGATGTTACTAAACAATGAATGGGTTAACAGTGAGATCAAGGAAGAAATTGAAGGATAACCTAAGACAAATGAAAATGAGAACACAATAACCCAGAATCTATGGGACACAGTGGAAGCAGACTAAAGAGGGAAATTCATAGCATTTTGCACCTCAAGAAACAAGAAAAATCTCAAACAAAAAATCTAACTTTATACTTAAAGGAAACAACAAACCCCAAACAAGCATTAAAAAAGGAAACAATAAAGATCAGAGTAAACAAAATATAATATAAATAAACAACACAAAAAATTGATGAAACTAAGACCTGGTTCTTTGAAAAAATAAGAGTGATCAACCTTTAACTGTAGTCACCAAGAAAAAAGAGGAATGACCCATATATAAATAAAATGAGAAATGAAAGAGGAGAAATGACAACTGACACCACAAAAATACAAAAAACTTATAAGAAAATACTAGAAATAATTATATGCCAACATTGGACAATCTGGACAAAATGAATAAATTCCTACATGCACTCTTCTAAAACCAAATAAAAAATTTAAAAAACCAAAAAAACAAAATCTGAACAGACTAATTATGAAAAATGAAATAAAAGCAGTAATTAAGAAACTCCCCACAAACAAAAGTCCTGAACTGGATGGTTTCACAGATAAATTTTACCAAGCATTCAAAGGAGAATTTACACCTATAGTTCTCAAACCATTCCAAAACATCCAAGAAAAGAAAACTCCCAAGATCATTTCAGGAAACCAACATTATCTCATTTCAAAACCAGATAAAAGATATTACAAGGAAAGAAAATTATAAGCCAATATGCCTAACGCACATAGGTACAAAAATCCTCAACAAAATATTAGCAAACTGAAATCATCAATACAATAAAAAGGTCACAGTCCACCCTGGCTGGTGTAGCTAAGTGGATTGAGTGCCAGCCTGTGAACCAAAGGGTCTCTGGTTTGCTCCCCAGTCAGGTCACATGCCTGTTTTGCAGGCCAGGTTGCCAGTAGGGGGCACTCAAGTGGCAACCACACTTAATTAATATTTCTCTCCTTCTCTTTCTCCCCCTTCCATCTTTCTAAAAATTAATAAATAAAATGTTTTAAGCTAATCAATAAAAAACATTAAAAAAAAAAGATCACAGTCCCAGCCAGGTAGTGTTGTTTACAGCATTGTCCCTACACTACAAAATTGTGGATTTGATCCCCAGTCATCAGGGAACATACAAGAATCAGTCAATTAATGCATAGATGGGTGAAACAATCAATGTCTCTCTCTCCTCCTCCTTCCCCCTTTCCCTCCCTTTCTCTTTCTCTCTAAAAATCAATAAATAAAAATTTTAAAAATGATTATACGCCATGATCAAGTGGGATTTATTTCTGGGATGCAAGGTTGGAACAATATCTGCAAATCAATTAATGTAATATACCAAGTTAATAAAATCAAATATAAATGCCATATGATCATATTAATAGATGCACAAAAAACATTTAAAAAAAATTTAGCACCCATTCATGATAAAAACTCTCAGCAAAGTGGGAATAGAGGAAACATACCTCAATGTAATAAAGGCCATATATGACAAACCCAGAGCTCACATACACAATGGGGAAAACTAAAAGTATTTTCCTTAAAATCAGAAAAAAAGACAGGGATGTCCATTTTCACTACTCTTAGTCAACATAGTACTGAAAGTCTTCTAGCACTGAAGGTACTAGAATAAAAATAATGAAGAAAGAATCAAATCACATCCAAATAGAAAAGGAAGAAGTAAAACTGTCATTATTTGCAGAATGGCATGATACTATATACACAGATTTTTAAAGACTCCACCAAAACATTGCTAGCACTGATAAGTGAATAAAGTAGTGGAATAAAAATTAATATTCAAATATAAATTGCATTTTTAATTTTTTATATTTTTAAAAGATTTTATTTAGTTATTTCTAGAGGGGAAGGGAGGGAGAAAGAGAGGGAGAGAAACATCAGTGTGTAGTTGCCTCTCTTGCACCCCCTACTGGGGACCAGGCCTACAACCTAGAAAAAATGATAATAGAAAACCTAGATATGTGCCTGGACAGGGAGTCCAACAAGCTATCCTTTGCCTTACAGGCTAGCACTTAATCCACTAAACCACACCAGCCAGGGCTAAATTGCATTTTTATACACCAATAGTGAACTATGAAAAAGAGAAACTAGAAAAGCAATCCTATTTACAATTGCATCAAAATAAATAAATAGAATACCTAGGAATAAATTTAAACAAAGAGGTAAAAGACCTATACTCAGAAAATGATAAAAGATTGAAGAAAGAAACTGAAGAAGATACAAGTAAATGGAAGTACAGGCCCTGTTCATGGATTTATGGACAAGAAGAATTAATATCATGAATTGTTTATACTACCCAAAGCAATCAATAAATGCAGTTCAATCTCTATCAGTATATCACCTCTCTGTTTTCAAAGAAATAGAAGTAAAATAAATAATGCAAAAATGTATATGGAATCACAATCTTGAGACAGAAGAACAATGTTTGTTGTATCATGCTATCTGATATCAAACTATACTACTAGCCTATAGTAATCAAAACAGCATGGTACCAGAATAAAACAGACACATAGATTAATGTTAGAGAACAGAGGACACAGAAATAAACCCTATGTGGTCAATTAATATATGAGAGAGGAAACCAGAACATACAATGGGGTAAAGGCAGTCTATTCAATAAATTGTGTTGATAAAACTGGACAGATACACACAAAAAAAATGAAACTAAACCAGTTTTTTATATCATATACAGAACAAACTAAAAATGGATTAAAGACTTAGTGTAACAATTGAAACCATAAAATTCCTAGGAGTAAACCTAGGAAACAAACTCTGACATTTTTCTCAGCAATATTCTTTTCTGATACATATCCACGGCAAGGGAAATAAACAAACAAAAAATAAACTAATGGGACTACATCAAACTAAAAAGGTTTGCACAACAAATGAAACCATCAAAAAAAGAAATGAAAGAAGATATTGGCAAGGATGCATATTATAAGGAGTTAATATCCAAAATTAATACAGAACTTATATAAGTCAACATCAAAAAACACCAAACAATCTAATTTAAAAATGGGCACAGACCTGAAAAGACACGTCTCCAAAAAGGGCATACAGAGGACCAACAGACAGAAAAAAAGATGCTCCTAATCAACAATAATCAGAGACTATAAATTTAAAAAAACACAGTGAGATATCACTTCACACCTGTCAGAAAGGCTATCATCAATAAACTAACAATTAACAAGTGTTGGTGAGAATGTGGAGAACCCTGGTGCACTATT